ACTTATTTTGAGAGTTTTTCAAAATATTCTAATAAAGTTATTTTTCATTAAGTATTTTCCAAGTTTTATCCAAGGCTTGAATTTGATATGCAATTTGATATAATGTATGAATATCTCGTAAACTATTTATTGTTTGACAATTATATTTTAATACTTTTATACACAGAATAATGAGATTAATTAATTGATGTAAAGGAAATATATAGTTGCTGTGTAAACAATAAAGATTTGCAATATGCAACAACATACCTTTTTTAAAAAATAACTATGTATTTTCTTTTTCTGTCAAAAAATGAATAATTTATAAGATACTTTATTATTTATTCTTTATGTCAAATTGCATATCAAATTCAAGCCACATAACTCAGAAAGCACTTAATGAAAAACAATTTCATTATAGTGTTTTAAAAAGCTTTCGAAGTAAGTTACAAGAATAATAAATAATGGGAGTTTTCATATATTGAAGGTGATCTTCACATGACCTTCAAACGCCTATCCAAAGTCAAATCAATGACATCATCTTATATCTTCCTTCTAACCATACAACTTTTGTCTGAAATATTTTTGTTTGCCGATCTGTTTTCAAAATATTAGACTAGGTAGATTAAAATGAATCACTCTGTATAATACAATTTATATATTAATGTATAATATTTAATGTATATACTTGAAGCAACATTATAGGATTAATATTTTCTAACTAAGAAATTCTCTAAATTCAAATAATTACGAAAAATCATCATGAACCAATGATACAATATGTTTTAAGTTCGGCTTTTTATTTCTTTGTTAGTTTGTAGTATAGGTTTAATCTAATAATAATACAAAAATTGCGTTTTTTTATCTATGATTATAATCATGATAAATGAGCATTGTTTTAATAATTAGTTTTAATAATTAGTAACTTTTAGAGTTATATTTAGTATCTAAAAATTTTAAATTGCCACTAAAAAAATCATTTCAATTTTGACCATAGAACAAAAAGCAATTTTTATTTTATCATCAGATTAAGCCTAAACCATAAATTAACTAAAAAATGAAAAATTGGGTCAATTAGAGTAAAGTCTTAATTTTAATGTTTATATGATAACAATTCTTAAAGATAATTTATGAAGACAGTTCTTTAAATAAGCATTTGTTTTATTAAATTTTATAATTAGTAACATTCGTCAATGCATTTATCCATTTAATAATTATCAAATCTTTACTCAATATTTATAATAATAAAAATTTAATGAAATAATAATCTGATGGGGATAAAAAATTAAATTATATACTCCATAAATATGCTATAAGTATTTTCTAACATATTATGACAAATTTATAAAATCTTATCTATCTATTGTATAAAATCATTTTTATCATAACATAATAAATAATCATAATAATATTCGAATATATAAGAATGAAAATATTAGAAGAATAAGTATATATATTTTCCAATCATAAGAAATAATCATTAATCATTCATTGAATCCTTCATTTTGTTTAACGCAGTCCAAATGCTAACAAATAAATTTAAAAAATAAAGTAATAACTGAAAGAAATTATAATGAAAAAAATTATAAAGATAACTATTAAGTCTATGGCATAGTGCTATTTCTTTTATTAATTCGTAAGAGAAAAAAAGAACAAAATTAAATTATTGAAAAAAATTACAGTTGTTGAAAAAATAATTTTAACTGTAATTTCGTTATAAATAACGAATTATTTCTCAATTTTGTAATGTAATGTTACGTCCGAGTACCATTTATATACTTCATTTATATAAATAGAAGAAAATAAGTTCAAGAGAATTTTCAAGTTATTACAACACAGAATACATAAACAAGAAACAAGAATTAATAAATAAATTATAAGCATTATTTATGATACATCCGAAAATCACGATCAATTTGTACATACTCCCAAATGTTGGCAATTCGCATTATTTTATTCTAAAGATAATTTTCTTTTTCCATACTAACAACTTTGTATAAAGATCAATTAGATATAATTGAATATAAATGTTGAAACAGTACACGAATATAACATAATCTTAATTAATTATATATAACTGAGAAAATAATTTAAATGAAATAAAATAATTTAAATTATTTACAATTTTTCATTAGTTTCTGAAATTTTTAAAAACTTTAAATTATATGAATATTTATTATAATTTATCAAATTTTTTAATTAAAATTTGCACTGTTTTAAACGGAATGTTAATTATCTTAATTAAACAAATCATTACTTTTCTTTATAAGCAAATAAATTCTATAAATGACTGACCTGTAATGACCGATACGTCAGTCTCGACGAGAGATGTTTGGAAATATATTCTGTTAGCGTTGTTGCGCCACATATCAGTACGCAAAGTCTGACCTGGTAGAACCGGCTTTGCAAATCTCACCTAGAATTTTTTAACATATTATTATATAAATACAGACATGTATTAAATCGTATTAAAACGTAAAATGTTGCTTTAGTATTTAGATAAAAGTATTTAGATAAAAGTATTTAAATAAAAGTATGCTCTACCATGAAAAATATGATGATAAAAACAGATAATAAATATATGTGATACAATCCAAACCAAAATATGATACAATCAAAACTGATAACATGTATAAGATAAATAATATATATAAAATAAACAGTTGTGGTCGAGATAAAAAATATTAGTGCACAAAATCTGGAATTTTAATTAAATTTCACAATTTCATTCATTGTGTTTATTGTCACATTAATGAAATAAATTACCAGATTGTTTAAATGCAAATATTTTTGTACTCAAAGTTTATCACAATAAAAAAAATCCTAAATATCTTACTTTTTATATATCGTTATTATATATTTCTGTGATTTATTTCGCGTTGTTCACTCTACTTTATATTGTAGTATTATATACAGATTTATTTTTTATGATGAAAAAAACTTGATTGTAACGTTGATTTACGTGGCATATGTACAAAGATCTCCCTACTAATGCACGCTCACTACTAAATGTCACATCACACTTTACATATTATTTGCGTGTTATCTGCTATATTTATCACTACATTGTTGTTGTGCAGCTCGTATATCACAAACGTTCATGAATAATGCAACAAGACTTTTTAAATAAAACTTTGTTTAATACTATTTTTGCTTTTATATACATAAAAATATAAATATTTAAGATAGAATTTTTAAGATAGAATTTATTTAAGATAAAATTTATTTTTTTACAAGATCAAACCTCTAAAAATTCGAATTATTAATTTTAATATTACTTAGAAAAACTGTGTCGTTTTCATATCATAAAGAATTTTTTGTATTATAAAGAGAAAGTATAATGCAATTGCATCTATGTGAGGTAACAAGTAATAATTCTAAAATAAGTCAATTTCACATATTATAAAGAATAATGTTTCTTTTTCTAATTCTAAAATTCTATAAAAAAAAATCAAAAAAATTTAATTTTCAATTTTTTAAAAACTTTAACTCTGAATTTGTTGAATATTGATTCAAATAAATTTGCAAAAAGGTATAAAATAATTCTGTGCAAATATACAGCAATTTTATGTTTAAAATTGAACAAATTTCTATACAAAAATAAATGAAAATAAATAAAATATATGAAATATGTTTGTTTTCGCTTGTTTTCGTATGTAGACTTTGTCTCTTAATCTCTTTTTTATTTTATCACTTGCATTATCAGTTAATTTGCATCTTAAAATATTTTGAATAGGAGATTCACCTTGAAACTTCATAAATATCATTTTTCTTAATCATACCTTGATAGATTTGAATAAATATGGATCTCCAGCAGCATAAGTTTGAAGAACATGACGGGTGGAAAATCCTAGAGAGCATAGTCCTTGCAATATTGGTCTTTCAAACCCTGCCATCATAGCGACATTAGGGTCAAGGTGCAAAGGATTAAGATCTCCGCTTAATCTGTATAGAGCAGCCTGTAATAAGTTGTCATGTGTATAATTTAACATATATAAAATAAGACATTTAAAACATATTTGAACATTTCTGATATATTTATAAACGCATAAAAAAATAAAATTTTTCAAATACATAAATACATAAAATTTTTTGCAAATATATTAATCAATCGATAAAGTTTTAATAGAATTTTAACAAGTTTTAGATAAACATATTCGATCATACCGTGTTTAATAATTATTTTGTGAAGTTATATACAAAGTATCCTATGAATAGTTGCCCTGATTAATTTTTTGAATGTGTTCAATTATTAACAACACAAAAATTACGTTGAAAAAAGGAAATTCTGCAAATTTTAATATAGTATATAAATGAAATTTAACAAATGTTTGTTATATCAGTTTATTTTGTTGAAATATAAAAAATATAAATATATCAATAATCAAATAAGATAATGATCAGAAAACTCAATTCTTTTGCAAAAACTTTTAAAGACTTTTTTTGACATGTCGTCTTTAATATTGAATTTTATACAAATTTAAATAATGTACATTCGAAAAATATCATTAGTTTATTTGATTAGCATATTTTTCATTATCAAAAATGTGCTAATATTGCATGCAAAAAATGCTAATATTGCATGCAAAAATTATTTGATATCGAATTATTATCCCAAATAACAAAATGCCAGTAGTATGCCAGTACTGTACCAGCAGATCCGATCATGACTTCATAGCAGATTTCAAGCTGCAACTTCTCAATTAAATTTAGTTTTTTGCGGCACACTTTCTCATCATAGGATAACGAGAAAAATGCGAATACAGCGGTATGGCTATTATAATTAAAAATCAGACGTGATCCGATTGACAATCACAGAAAGAATTTTCTCCAGGCTACTTCCTTAACCGTCAAGGATTGGGTTGATACACTCACTATCTCTTCGATCTACTGCCCCTCTAGACTTTCAATTTCCACTGAGCAATTTGAAAAATTTTTTTAAACTCTGGGTAACTAATTCATGGCAGTAGGAGACTAACAAAACATCAATTCTGAGGGTCTAAGTCTTAACCAAAGGTAGTGCACTATACAAAGTCATCACCAGTAAAAAACTAGGCATATTATCCCAAAGTATGCCTACCTGCTGGCCGACAAATAGAAAAAATCCCGGATATTATTGACTTTGGAATTGTCAAAGGGATCTCAAGAAAATATTATCAGATATCTACAAGCCTAAATCTATCCTCTGATCATTCTCCGTTTATAATCTACCTAAACAATAAAGTGGCTCTCAGCCCTGCTATTTGAGTAATAAAAGAATCAATTGGAATCTATTTCGCGACCAGCTAGAATTTCTCACTTGCGACGAAGGTATCACTTAAAAGCAAATCTGATATTATACAGACAGTCAAACATTTTAATATTCATGTCCAATATGCAGCTTGGAACTTTACACCATTAATATAGCGACCCAACATCCTATAACTTCTACAATTAGAGACAAACCCTTGATCAAGAGAAAGCTCAAGAAGCAATGGCAGATCTATAGATCTTCCTAATTAAAAACAAAATTAAATAATACTTAAAGAATTGAGAAAGTTACTGTACAAGGAGAAAAATGTAAGTATAAATATATACCTGCAAAACCTAAGCCCTTCTCAAGTTTCCGATTATTCATTATGGAAGGCTACTTGGAAATTGAACAACAACAAACCTCTCCACCAATTCGCAAAAATAATGGGCACTGGACAAGAACCAATTAGGAGAAAGCTGATAACTTTGTGACCCACCTTATGGAAGTTTTTCCCCCAACTCGAACAAGGTGGATCCTAAATTCAAAAAGATCATTTCTACGTACTTGGAAGCTTTCCAGAAACAAATAGCTTACTCAGGTACATTCAATAAGAATGAAGTCCGTCTAGTCATCTCTAAACATTTGAATGCCAAAGGGGCTCCAGGCTATGACTTAATCATTGGCCGTATCTTTAAAGAACTATCGGATTCAGCTATTTTATTCCTTATTCATTTATTTAATGCAATCTTGCGATTATGGTTCTTTCCATCCCAATGCAAGGTGGCGCAAATAATTATGATTCATAAACCTAACAAAGACTACCAATGTTAAGTCCTACAGACCCATAACATAGACATAAGTCTCTTACCAGTCTTATCTAAGTTATTTAAAAACTTTTTCCAAAAGTTTATGCCAATTATAGAAGAAAAAAAGCTGATTCCAAATCATCAATTTGGTTTCCGTCGCAAACACGCCACCATTGAACAAATTCATAGAATAGTAAATAAAATCTTACTATCTCTAGAAGCAAACAATATTGTTCAACTGCATTCCTAAACATGTCACAGACATTTGACAAAGTCGTTTGGCATGACGGCCTTCTGTTCAAAAGCCAACAAAACTTCCCAGAAAGTTTTCATAATATACTTAAAAGCTATCTTCATGATCGATATTTTCTCATAAAACAAAATGATGCCTATACAGGCATTTATAAAATCTCCTCGGGAGTCTCCCAGGACAGTGTTTTGGAGCCAATCTTATATTTGATCTACATAGCTGACATATCAACACATACCAAGTATCAGTACTAATACTTTCATAGCAACATATGCAGATGATACGGCCATCCTCGTAATCCATAGTGATCCCAGCAAAACATCTCAATGCCTTCAAGAAAGTTTATTTCAAATACAAGATTGGTTGAAATGTTGGAGAATCAAAGTCAATGAAACAAAGTCACCTCTCATGTCACCTTTATGACTTAAACGGCAACTTGTCCTCCTGTCTATTTAAACCAAATTCAAATTCCTCAGGTCTCTGAAGTCAAATGTTTCGGCATGCATCTCGATAGACGGCTCAACTGGTGATCCCACATTTTTGCTAAGCGCAAACAGTTAGTCTTAAACTGTATAAATTAATAAATACTAATAAATACTAATAAATACTACTATGGCTGTATAAATTATACTATTATGGCTACTAGGAAGGAACTCTCAGCTGATACTGGAAAATAAGCTGCTAATTTATAAAACCATATTAAAGCAGATCTGAACTTACAGTGTTCAGTTCTACAGGGGTACAGCCTCTAATTCAAATGTAGATATATTACAAAGATTCCAGTCAAAGATACTGAGAATAATTACTGATTCGCCTGGTATGTCACAAACGAAACATTGCATCGAGACCTAAAAGTCCCAATGGAAAAAAACAATCAAAATATTCTACAGCAGCTACTGCGACAGATTGGAGACTCATCCTAAGAGAGCCGTCACTGGCCTTATGAGGAATAGTTAGAGGACTCAAAAGGAAGAAATCATCTGATTTTCTCAACTGAGTGAGAAGTCTAACTCAACACTCGGATTAACTCCGAGCTCTTAAATAATAAGAATATGACAGAGGTCATACATCTTGCTAGTTATCTCCATAATTCATCATCATAAATATTGTTGAATGTCCTGTGTTCAGTGACAGATTGCAATAAAATAAGATATTATAAAAAAAATTCTCAAATATATTTTTTAGATATTCAAAATTCTGATTTTAATGCAATGATATATCTAACATATATACTATATATTTTCTGACATATATACTATATATACTATATATTTTATTTACCTGATCGATATTAGTCTTTTGTGTAACCGTTACATCTGGATTTCGAGCGGGAGGATCAACGGTTGAAATAGTGTGCGTTGATGTTCGTTTTCCTTTGAAACCACCTGCACCGATAACAAATATAGACATTTGCCCACTTGACAACTTCTCTTCATTTGCTACATTGTAAGTATCATCTAGGGAAACATAAAATAATATATATAATATTTATGAAACTTGAACATGTATGCGTTATTACAAATAATTTACATGATTATACACATTATAAATATTTTATTAATAAGATTAAACATTATTGTATTATGCGTGCGCGTGTACGTGCGTGTGCGTGTAGATACTACAAATGATATTTTATTCATAAATATATAAAAATCGTGATAATCCAATTACTTCGTATAAACAGAAAAAACCGTTTTGCTTTTGAAATATTTAAAAATCTGGCCAGATATATGTCTAGCTCCATGAACCATCAAGATAATACGTTCAAGTTGGTGGCTAAAATATCAAAAAATTTTGCAGTATCATCATCGTCTTACATAATTATTTTGACAATCCAACAAAATTATTTTTAGAGTTGGCCAAATTTTTAATTACTTCAGCCAGATCATTCTTTGATCATTTGTGCAGATTATAAGATTTGCGTACGTTGAATTAAGACAACGGCGCCTTTTCCTTTATCCAAAACATCTTGAATTTTAAAGCGCGTCTCCACCGTAGCTTCTGTAGGCAGTTGTTTATAAACTTCCAGATATTGCTCACCATGAAGTATCTATAAATATTAATGTAATATTAGATATTCATGATATTGAAATTTAAGAATAACCATAAACAAAATAATAATGTTAAAGTCTTGAAAAAATCGAAGAATTGAGAAAGTTGAAAAAGTCTATAATTATACCCGTGTTGGATTAATTTGTGTAAATGGAATAGCGTCTTGCACAATAGATGAGTTCATACATCCCATAGGTCCATACAAAACATAGAAAGTAGGTAAAACGGCAAACTCGTCAGAATTTTCATACAAATAACGAATATCAGTTGGATCTTGAGTTGTAGCTCCAACTAAAAAATCCGAGTTCAGGTAAAAAAATTTAAATAAGTTTAATATGAAGCTTATTATATATACAGTCTACTTAATTCATATATGGAAGCAATACATATATACATACATCCCATCTCATCTTCTTTAATTTTTTTAATATAGTTCTTTAATATATAATTATTTTTAATAATTTAATAACTTTTTTTAATGTTCTTTAATATTCAATTAAAAATATGTGTACATACTAATATAATTTATATTTCATAAAATTTAAACTATAATTTTTTAATATTTTAATTAATCAATATACTTGTTGTTCAGTTGTAAACAAATTAAAATAAAAAAGATGTAATTTCTATATTTAAATGCACTATAATTAATAAAGTTAGAAATCTGAAAATTTAAATATTAAAAATTATTAAAAAATAATTAGTATAAATAATGATTTTTATGATATAAAAGCAAAAGCAAATAAAGAAATTAAAAAAATTAAAATTTAATATAAAAATGCAAATAAAAAACCTATTTACGATATTAAATCTGCCATTTTGAATTTATAAAATTTGACTTTAAATATATAGAGAAACGAGAGCGGTCGTGAGATAGGTGTGGAGCAATCAGATATCATATCTCGTATAGTTTGCATTGAAATCTGGGGACATTAAAATTACTTCGCTACTAATTATAGCCTATTTAAACATTGTAGAATGATTACTTTCATCATTAATATCTACTGCGTTCTTATAAAAACTGCATTTTCCGCAAATAGCGGAGATTGTGATAGATTTTGTATATATTCTTTATGTAGTTTTAAGAAATATGTTAGGTATTAATTTTAAATAATTTTAAATATTAATTTACAGAAAAAAGATTCCCTACCGGCGGTAATTGTTTGGCATGCCTGAGAGAGTGAGGGAGTTGTGAAGCAGCTACGTTTATATTATATTATCGAAAGATTATTCGTGTTGTTGTAACCGTACCTACAACTAATATATTAAATTATAAAGATAATAAAATTCGTCTTTCAAAATTAAAAAAAATTCCAAAAGATTTTGAAATCAGCATATGCTATTTCTTTCTATGCGCCCGGCAACCGCTCGCGATCAAACAAAGGTCAAACACGGTGCATTCTTTTACGCGACCAGCCAAGCTGTGCGTGACCAAAATCGGCACATTTTTATACGCACCTAGCAACCGGGCGCGACTAAAGATCAAAAAGGCCAACCACCCTGATCAGAACGCTGATCAGGCATCGATTCTCAAGGCTATATAATCCAAGGACGGGAAAACGGAGTCATATGAAATAATACCCGGAGTGAGAATCTTTCGAGAATCGTGATCGGTCACAGTATCAAGATCCATCGCTAACTACACGCGAGTAGTGATAACCGCGTATCAATTAACGCCGGTACACGATCGTCAGCCTTCCGAGTATCACGAGCCCGACGACACTTCAATCCGAGTGCGTGAGAAAATAGTGTAAATCGTTGTCAAACAAGCTATCAAGTCATAACATTAAATCATTGTACATTTACCAGAATAAATTTACCAATTATTAAAAAGTGAGTGAAAGTGATTTAAAAGAAGAACCTTGCACCCACGATCTTGCTCAGAGTTCCAACTCCTCAGGCCTTGGCGAATCCAACTTTCCCGAAAAATAATTTTGTAACTCATCCGGGATACAATAGTGTGTAGTAATTGTTCTCGTGTATTAATAAAGTTCATTTCTTTTATAAAACGGTTTTGCTCTTCATAAATAATTGAGTGTGAGAGTGAATTTGTACGAGGGACTACTGCGGGCGCGACAATATATTAAACTAATCATTTTGAATTTCCAAAATTCGATTTCAAATTTATTATTTAGCGAGTTATTAGCGAGTCAAAAATATATAAACATAAATGTTAAAATTAATATAATAAAAAAAAATTTTCTTCAAAGGTACATACCTCCAAGCGCATATAGTATAGTATCGCGAAAATTATAATTATTCTTCACGACATAGTCTACCTGTGAATGATAAAAACAATAAAAATAACAAGTTTTACGATAGCAAAGAAAGCTTACATAACTTACATAACTTACTTCATTTGACGAAATACCACTTCTCATAGTTTCGACAACACCTAATAATTCTCCTGTTGCTTCCTAAGTTAAAAAAAAATAAGAGGCTAAAATTATTATATTTATAAATTAAACTACATATATGGGACATTTGCGTCAAGTGGGCCATCCCTCCAAAAAATTAACACAAGAAAAAAATGTTTGAAGTTTCAAAATATTCGTATACCAATGTAGTTTCGAATGGAACCTTTTGAAACATTTAGTATAGCGCCCTGAAATTTCCAAAAATCACGAATAATCTTAAACCATCTTCGATTAAAATGCGGAAACTTGACAAATCGGCTTGAAAATGATTACTATAAGATTTTCAAGATCGTTAATTACAAATTTGAAGAATCACAAAATTCAAAATGACGGTTTCAAAATGGCCCGATTTGGAATCAGTACATAAAGCGTGAGTATCATAATTGTTATCGAGTTTAATACTTTATAGTGACCATTGATTCAGAGGCACCAAGGTATCGCATTACTTGCAATTTTTTTTCCCTTTAATAACAAAGAAAGCATGTCCACTTTGGATTTTCATAATTTGCGGAACTTCAGAACATCATTGTGCAAGACATTTTCAAGCCGATTTGTCAAGTTTCCGCATTTTTAATCAAAGATGTTTTAAGATTATTCATGATTTTTGGGAATTTTAAGCGCTATATTTGAGTTGCTGTATTGAACTTTCCAAAAGGCCACGTCCCATTCAAAACTACACAAGTATATGAATATTTTACCTCAAACATTTTTTCTTATTGCGTTAATTTTTCAAAGTGGCTTGACGCGAAACGTCTCGTACATATATACGTATATGAATATTTATATTTATATATTTATATAGCATGATATTTATAATGTGCATTCTTATATTTAAAATTATCTTAACTATAGATTTAAAATATCATAAATCAATTACAGAGCTGTAAAAGCATCTTTAAAATACATCCAGATTATCGAGCAAAACTTCGAATTGAATCTAGAGAATCTAAAACTTCGAGTCGAATTTCTTTACAGATGCATGTCCAAGATTCTATTATGCCAAATTTTATGAAAGTCGTGAATATATAAACTATAAGCACGTTAAGTTAAATATTAGTCAAGCTGCGTAACACTAAAATTCCCGCAGCTCCAGATTCGATGTTCAGTTGGCGGCGAAGTTCGACTTGAAATTTGATGTTCGGCTCGTAATGAGTCTCAGTCCGAGAATTTTGCTCGATAATCTGAACGCACTTCTTAAGACATTACTTAAGGGATAACACCACTTTGATGATTTCAAAAAAATCAATTTTTTTTTGCGCTAAAAAGGTCCCTTAGAGTCTTAAAAATAAGATACAATTAATCCTATATGTGAAAGGAATTTTTTCCCCTCTTTTTTTGAAGTTTCCTGCGGCGCCTTCGGCCCCTCGAATGAGTACGCAGCGCCAAAGGAGCAGGTATATGTTTTGAAGTTTTACTCTTTAGATAATGTTCTTAGTTACCTGGCAAGTTGTAAGAAATTTAAAGAAGAAATTGGCAAATAGTAAGAAATTTAAAAAAGATTAAGAAAAGATTTGGCGGAAAAGAAAAATTAACGGGCAAACTTATTGAATTGTCCTTCTATTATGGACTAGTCATTCGTCGAAATAGTGATTCTGCTGAAAAAATGCGAAATAGCATCTGGACAACGCTATATCATAAAATTTTGACAGACAAAAAGCCACAGCACGACAAGTGCCTGAACGGCCCAGATACATGGTGCTCTTGGCAAAGGGCAAAAACTTGCGATACCTTAAATTTATATACACATAAACCGGCTATATCTGACGAAGTTTTCAACGCAATTGAACCTGTGTATGAAGGTTTAATCAGCGATGATCTTAATTGCTGCTTAGGAGGATATACGCAGAACAGCAATAAAAGTTTTAATGCCATTGTTTGGTCCATTGCATCAAAAGCTTATTCAAGCGGAAAAAAAGTATTGGATATTGCAGCGTTTTTATCCGTCTGTATTTACAATTATGAGATAAGCAGTTTAATGCAAATTATACAAATATTAGGACTCAAAATAAGCATTAACTGCTATAACTTCTGTGAGGAGGCGAACGAACAACGCATACAACGATCGGAGCGCTCGTTGATGGAGATGGCCTAAGAGGTTCGACGCTTAAATCGTCAAAAAAAGAAAAGAATAAACACAATTCTTTTCTTAAAGGACAACTGTATGAGGCAGAAATAGCAGATTAGAGGTAAATTTAAATTTACTGTTTTTATAAACGAAAAAAAATTACTTAAAGCTTTAAATGCATTTTTCTCAAAACAACTTTTTTCCGAACTAGCGGATACATCAAACAAATCAAACAAATATTAACCGACTTGAAATTTTTTATACATCTTCAAAAATACATATCTCAAGGAAATACGTAAGGATTTTTCAGTTAATTAAAAACTTTTCTTTTTATAAACAAAAAAGTCACGATTTTTTCCATTAAAATTGAATGTTTTTTGAAAAATCTTTACTATTTTCACAAAAATCAAAATTTTGAAAATTATGTACTTCTCTGGCAAATTTAATGTAGTTTTCAAAAATTTTTTGTTTTTCTTCTAGCTCAAAATTTGCAGCTGCTACCTGTCCGCTAGTATAGCGCGATCTTTCAACTTTGGCGGTATATTTATAGATTTCTGGACATTATTAAAAAAATAAAAAAAGGTTTTTATAGATTTAAAATATATATAATAAAGGACTTTAAAATATATATAATAAAGGGCAAAAAACGAATTATTGTTAACTCTATTTATTTTCACACGAGAGATCCTCAAAATTTAGATCCGTAAGGTGATGTTACCCCTTAAGATGGTTTTAAAACAGCAACAGGATCGTATTAATATCTTAAGATATTTTACTTAAAACAGTTTTAAAATAAGAATAAAGATATAATAAGAATAAGAATATGATTATCGGACACAGATTTATATTCTCTTACCTGAATTGAATTAAGATGCTTCGCTGATGTCATATCAATTATTTTCAACCAATTTTTTTGCACATTTTCTGGTGTAACATCGGCAGATAAATTTTGCCGCAAAATGCAACCTGAAGAGCGCACTAAATGACCTATATATTCAAACATATGTCGTCTATTATATCTACTTTTGGAATACTTATATAATGCAAATAAAAAAGATGAAAAGATTTTATGTATGTAATATAAGATCAATATAAACTTATTTTAAGTTTTTAGTAAAAAGCATCAGAGTTATTTATTAAAATAGAATTTATTTACACTTCTAGCGCACAGCCAAAGAAAGGGACTTGATTTACATTTATCTAAAACATTTATCATATCTTCACGGCACTCCTATATACATACCATACAAAACAAAACTGACTGTAATAACCAATAACAAAACACTTTGCCTATCCTAACCAACTAAACTAAACAACTAAACATACTATTCTTAAATATTCTACTCCTCTCCATTTTAATCCTGTTTCCTTATATTTCTATACCTTGCCCTTTACTATCTTAATTTCTTCCCATTGCTTTTTGTCCTTTCCCTATTGCTCTATTCCTATGTCCTCTAGCTTCTTCTTGACTCTCCTCTCTTTCGGTACTCCATGTAGCGTTCTCTTTATTTTCTGTTATTCCTTTTTCTGTTCTGCTTCCTCTCCTTTTCTTTTAGTTTATTTATATATATAAATTTCATCGCCCCTCCTTTAATTTTTGGTGTCCTCCTCCTTTTCCTTTCCTCTTTTGTTTTCTCTTATTTAACTCCTCCTATGTTCTTCCTTTCTTCTATCTCTCTTCGCTTATCTTTCCTTGTTCTCATCTCCTGTGGATCCTCCTTATTTCTCTCTTTTTTTTTCCATATGCATTTTCTACTTTACCAAATCAGTGTCTAAATTTCTTCAGTTCTTTCTCTTCCTTTTTCTTTTCTTTTTGTTACATTTGAATCCTCCCATGCTTTTGCTTTCTTCTATATGTATATATCTCTCTCTACTTATCTTTCCCTGTCTCCTTCTCCTCCATCTCCTTCTCCTTTAGATTTTCTTTATTTATTTCTTCTTTTTCTTGTACATTTCCTATCTTTCCCAAAACTTATATCTTATCCCTTTCATAACTCTTCCAATCTTCTTTCATACAATTGTCTTACATTATTATCTTCATTCATTCCTTCACTCAATTCTTCCCTTGTATCTTCTTCCTTCTCCCTCTTCTCATTTGCTTCATAAAATTCTTCTTTTCTTTCAATCAATTTTCCTATCAGAATTATTTATTAAAATTTTTATATA